TCAGTTCATAGCATGTAATGAGCCCTGGTCCACACAAGGTCCTGCTTGTGTGTTATTCCCTTCTCCACCCCCACCCCTGCCCCCATCATCCCCAATCTTCACTTTTGTTCCCTCCCGACAGTCATGCCCCCCCTCCGTGTCCTCAGTATGTGTCCTTATATATGCACGCATCCATGCAAAACAGGCAATGCCTTTTTATGAGTGGGAGTTTAGTTTCCATAAGCTGGTATCATGTTATATATATCATTCGTTGTCTTTTCTCACTCAGTGCAACATTATGAAGAGCTACTGCTGTTGCTGTGTATCGATTCTGTGTGCTGCTTCTTACTGCTGCATGCTCTTTCATAAGGTACATCCACCTTATTTTTCTTATCCATTCCCCTGAGGATGGACACCCAGGTTGTGTCCAACTCTCCTCCAGGTTGTTGCCACCACCAACTCAGTAGTGAACATCCTTATAAAGATGTGCATGAGACGGTTCCTGGGGGCTCTACGCATGGGATGGGTTGGGGGAGGAGGTGGTCACAAGATCACAGGGCATGTGCCAACTAAATTTTACTAAGCCCAACCAGATTGCTTTCCAGTAAATCTGCACCAGTTTACACACCCACCAGCAGTGCACAAGAGCGCCCCTCTCCCCACATCTTCATCAACACCTGGTATGTTCTCCTTTCTAATTTTGGCCATTTTGCCTGTTGTAAAGGGTCAGGCACTTCACACACTGTAGCAGATGCTTTGGGTGCCTCCAGTCACGTCTAATATCCACCCCAGCAGCGATGAATCCATCCGCGTGAGTTCAGAGTCCCACTGAAATAGCGTTTCATCTTAGGCATGCAGCATATATCTCCTCATTACTTCTGTCTGAAGGCCTTTGTCAAGGCATAGGAACCTGCTCAGCCTGGAGGTGAAGCCCAGAAATGTGGGGGAGGTAACTCTACTGGAAGAACACTCAGCTTCTGGAGAATAAAAACCCCAGCCTTCTGTGTTTCCTGTGGACAACTCTGGGAGGCATTCTATGTTTCTCAGAAGTCTTGGTGGAATAACCCCCCATTGCCTACACCAAAGACCCCAGTAATCCATTCTTATCATTGCTTCCCTCCTGTCCCCTGTTTTTCTTTCTCTTGCTCCCTGAGCTCAGCCCCACAAATAAACCACCCACACCCAAGTCCTCTTCTTTTTTAAAAAATTGAAACATAATTCATTGTACATATCTGTGGGGTACAGCACTGAATATCCATGCCTGTGTGCAATATGTGATGCTCAAATCAGGATTATTAGTATATTCAACATTACACTATGTAATCATTTTTTGTGGCCCTTTACCAATTTCTCGCTAACCTCCCTTCCCCCTCCCCCTTTCCCACCTCTGTTGGCCTCAGTTCTCTTCTCCTTTTAAAAGTTTAATGAATTATTGTGATTGTTGTACCTTTCTTTATTTGTTTATTTTTTAGCTCCCGCATGCAGTATTTCTCTTTCTGTGTCTGGCTTATTTAACTTAACATAATTTTCTCTGAGTTCATCCATGTTGCTACAAGTGGCAGAATTTCACCAAAACAGCATGGTACTAGCATAAAAACAGACACTCAGACCAATGGAACAGAATAGAGAACCCAGAAATCAACCCACATACTTACAGCCAACTGAACTTAGACAAATGCAACAGGGACACATACTGGGGAAAAGACAGTTTCTTCAACAAATGGTGCTGGGAAAATTGGACATCCATATGCAGAAGAATGAAACTACACTCATACCTCTCATCGTATATCAATATCAACTCAAAATGGATTAAAGACTTAAATATAATACCTGAAACTCTAAGACTCTTAAAAGAAAACAGGGGAAAAAATTCAGGAGGCAAGACTGGGCAAAGACTTTATGAATAAGACCCCAAAAGCACAGGCAACAAAAGAAAAAGTAAACAAATGGTATTATTTCAGACTAAAAATCTGCACGGCAAAAGGAACAATTAACAGAGTGAAAAAAACAACTTACAGAATGGGAGAAAGTATTTGCAAACTATGCATTGGACAAGGGATTAATATCCAGAATATACAAAGAACTAAAACAACTTAACAGTAAAAAAACAAGTAACCCAATTAAAAAATGGACAAAGGAACTGATAAGGCATCTCTTAAATGAAGACACACAAATGGCCCACAGACACATGAAAAAATGCTCAGCATCATTAGTCATCAGGGAAATGCAAATCCAAACCACATTGAGATATCATCTCACCACAGTTAGACTGGCCATTACTAAAAAAACCGAGAATAACAAACGCTGGTGAGGATGCGGGGAAAGGGGAGCTCTTCTACACTGTTGGTGGGACTGTAAATTAGCACAGCCATTATGGAAAATAGTATGGAGGTTCCTCAAACAACTACAGATAGAACTGACATACAGTCCAGCAATCCCACTGTTGGGTATATACCCAAAGGAATGGAAATCATCATGTTGAAGGGATACCTGCACTCCCATGTTCATTGCAGCTCTATTTACAATAGCCAAGAGATGGAACCAACCTAAGTGTCCATCAATGGATGACTGGATAAGGAAAATGTGGTATATATACACAATGGAATACTACTCAGCCATAAAAAAGAATGAAATTCTGCCAAGACCTGTGCTTTTTAGGGTACCCAATCTAAGACATATACATTGTTCCTAATCTCCACATCTCCTCTGTGAGGTAGGTGTTCTTTCCATTTTACGGAAGAGGAAATAGTCCCAGAAAAAGTGACTTGCCCAAGGTCACACAGCTGCTAACTGACTGAGCTGGGATTCAAGCTCAGGACCATCAGTCATTCTTTCATTAAAGTATGCTTTGCTCTTGTGATGTGTGCTTTGGAGGATGCCAGAGAGGACTGGGTCTTGGCACTTGAAGAATAATATTGTTGAGAAAATTTTAAAAAATACATATATAGAGAAAAGAATTTAATTTTATCATTAAATAATTTATAATTTATAAATAATATATAATTTTATCATCATATATAGTAATCAGAGATAAGTATAGTTCTTTGTTCATATTCATTCATTCAACAAGGACTTATTGAATGTCTACAGTGATCAGTATTGGGGATACAGTAGTGCCTTGGATTGAGTGTTCCTCCCACTGTGACAGTGTTAAGAGGGTGGGAAATCCTATTGTGAAAGGTAATTGAAAGGTGGTGCCTTGAAGAGGTGATGAGATTGTAGGACCATGCTGTAGTGAATGGATTAATAATGGTGGTCAGGGGTGAGGTTCTGAGGGCTTTGAAAGGAGAGCACGTGACAGGTTAATCTCTCTCTGCTCCACCATGTCCTCCATGTGAGACCCCTGCATTGATGTGAAGCCACCACCAAAGAAGACCCTCACCAGATGTGTTCCCCCTGGACTTTAAGCTTCCCAGCCTCTGAAACTGTAAGCAATAAATTTCATTTTCTTACAAATTACCCAGTTCCAGGTATTTTGTTATATGCAACCAAAATGGACTAATACAGAAAACTGGTACCAGAGAAGTGGGATGTTGCTTATAACAGATACTTGAAAATGTGGAAGCAGCTTTGGAACTGGGTAATGGGCAATGGCTGGAAGAATTTGGAGGAACAGGCTAGAAAAAGCCTTGATGCTGATGAAAGTTTAGAAGACAAGAAAACAAGGGAAAGTTTGGAACATTTTAAAGACTGGTTAAATGGTGGTGAGCCAAATGCTGATAGAAATATGGACAGAGAAGGCCATACTGAGAAGATCTCGGATATAAATGAGAAAGGACTTATTGGAAACTGGGGCAAAGATCACCCTTGCTACGAGCTAGCAAGGAACATTCTCTTCATGCTCAAAACTTTTCTGGAATGTGGAACTTAAAGGTGCTGACCCAGGGTATTTGGTGGAAGAAATTTCTAAGCAGCAAAGCGTTAAGGAAGCTGCATGGCTACTTGCAACAGCCTCTGCTGAGTTATGGCGGAAAAGTTATGAGGTAAAGCCAGAATTTATAATTCAAAAGAAAGCAGAGGGCAAAAAGTTGGAAAACTTTCAGCCTGGCCACAAAAGCAAGGGTGTAGCCCAGGGACCCTTTGCTAAGGAGATGAGTGTAGAAGAAGGGATTATCAAGAGAAGGGGAAAAAAACCTTGGAGGCATTTCAGAGATCCCAGAGACTACATCTTCCATTGTAGGCCTAGAGGACTAGGGAGACAGAATGGTCTTGGGGAACAGGCCTGAGGTGCCCTCTGCCCTCTGTGGGCTTGCTGCCCAGGGCCACCTTGGAGTGCTGTTCTTCCCTGCAGCACCCTAGCTGCTTTGGCTGCTCCAGCCGTGGCTAAATTGACCCCAGTTATGGCTGGACCTGCAGCTTTGGAAAATAAAAGCCAGGAGCCTTGGTGGCATTCAAGTGGTGTTAGGTCTGCAGGCTCACAGAATGCCAGAGCTATGGAGACTTGGGATCCTCCACCCCAGTTTCAAAGGAAGTGTGGAAAAGCCTGGGGATCCAGGAAGAGATCAGTTGCAGGGGCAGAGTCACTGCACAGAGCCTTAGCTAGAGCGATACAGAGAGGAAATGTGGGGTCAGAGTTGCGGCAGAGAAACCCCATCAGTGCCATGCCTAGTGAAGCCATGACAGTGGGACCACCATGAAGACCCCAGACCTGTGGAGCTACCAGAGTGGAATGCCAGCCTGGGAAACCTAAAGTGTGGCCCAAGACCAGGAAAGCCATAGCAGTGGAGCTGCCTGAGGACTTAGGGACCCAACACCCACACCAGCGTGCAGAGGACATCGAACATGATGTCAAGGTACATGATTTGCCAGCTTTAAGATTTAATGCCTGCTCTGCTGGATTTCAGACTTGTTTGGGACCTATTAAACCTTTCTTTTGGCCTATTTCTCCCTGTTTGAATGGGAATATGTACCCTATGCTTGTCCCAC